GATGACCAGGGTTCGATTTCTGACAGTAGCAGATGATTTTTGCTCTATCCTCTGTATCCAGACTGGTTCTGGGACCAACCCAGCCTCCTGTCTGATGGGTACTGGGGTCCTTTCCCAGGGGTAAAGCACAACCAGGGTGTAATGCTGACCACTCACTCCTATCTAGTGCCAAGGTTAAGAATGAGTGGGAGCTATGCCTTCTCCCCTCCACCCCTCCAAGTACCTACATGACATATAGTGGGACAGCTTAGCTTTTTAATTCAAAGGGTGTTTGTCTTTTCTACCCTAGTCATGAAGGCCTTCAGCCAAAGCAATCCCAACCTTTCTGGGATCAGCTCCTAGACATCCATCCAACTGAAGTTCTCTCAGCAAAGGACATATTGACTGTTGGTATCATCCTCCCACCAGTAGCAGTAACCCATAGTTTGAATATGTCTAGCCCTTCTGTCAAGAAAATGATCCCATTACCATAAGCACAGCCCCAGTTAAGTCACTGAGGCACTGTTTTCCAATTCCAGTTTTGATTTTCATGTTGTATGAGTGTTGTGTTGATAGCAGGACTGCATATCACCGTTTACATTAATTATTTTGGGTATAGCTATTTAAGAAAAATTTTCACACATCTAATAAAATTTAGTGCCTTTTTGTATCTTTTAATTTGAAGAACACCCAGTTCTGACGTGAAATTCTGTATTTAATTACAGTTTGAAATGCCAGTTGCATTATGCCCAAGCTCAACTAGAGAAGCTGAAGAAGACAAATGTTTTTAATGCAACGTTTCACATCTGGCACAGTGGTCATTTTGGTACCATTAACAATTTTCGCTTAGGGCATCTGCCTAGTGCACCAGTAGACTGGAGTGGAATTAATGTAGCTTGGGGTCAGACAGCTCTTCTGCTCACTGCACTTGCTCTAAAATGAATTTGACCTTTCAGCGGTTCCATCTTGTGCCCTATGGAAACCATTCATATATTGAGGTATGATTAAACCTTTTGCTACACATTATTTCTTCAATGATTTCATGAAGGAATTTAATTTTAAGGCAAAAATTTGAACTCCTTATGAGTATTAGGTTGTTATGTATATAATAAAATTCACAAAAATTACCAACACTCTTATCTATTATCAGTTTCAAGGCTCCTCTGTTACTAGGTGCTGGCTGAACACTGTGAATTGCCATTGTATGGCTCAGGTGGTTTTTGATTTTTGTGGGATACAAAATTTGATGCTGCCATGGTTGCGTTCCTTGATTGTCTGCAGCAGTTTAAAGAGGAAGTTGAAAAAGATGACTCTGGATTTTGTCTCCCATACTGCATGGAAAGAGGCAAGATTGAAGATTCTGCCACTGGAAATTCATACTCTATCAAGTATGTAATATTTAAGTAGGATTTGAGGTTTTCATGGCGGGAAGTCAGAAGATGGCTGTCTTCTGGGTTGATGCGCTCTGTAGTCTGGTAGAAGTTTACCAGCATTTCAGTGATCCTTGCTGCCTCAATTATCAGAGTGATGGTGGAGGCAGCAAGGACCTCTGGAACATTAGTAAACTTCTACCAGACTACACAGCGCAACAACCCAGAAGACAGCCATGTAAATAATATTTACTTAAGTTATGGATTTAGCAGAACAGAGGTAACATTGAAGACATGCCTTATTGAGATGTTTGGGAAGTGAATGGTTGTAACATGTGATATTTATATACATAAATATGGTTTTGGTATTTATGTGATAGAACAGTACACATATCAAAGTTGTTTTTATGCCTGAATGGGCAGAAGAGAAAAATTACACCCTGATACCCTCGTAATTCCAACTAGAGGGTACAAATCTGAAGACTCATCAGCATCTTGTTAATAATAAATTTCATACACTAGTTGAGTAATATTTTAATGACTTTTACATTAGTGGGACTTTCTTGGAACCATGGAGTAAAAATAATAATATACCCTTAATTGTCTGATTTAACTTTAATTATATGGGTGTGGGGGATTTAGATATCTAGACTAGTAGGCTGTTAGCTGGACTTAACCTCAAGGGTTAAAAGTTTATCAGTACGCTACTGTGCCAGCTGGATTGCATATAAACAGTGATGCATAGCTGATAAAGTTTAAAATGCTCCTAGTAGCAAGGTTGAAAATACATGATAAAAACAGAAATTGAATAAAGGATGATATTATTGTAGTGTTTCACACCTGACTTGCAGTTGGGATATCTGGATTTTGTACCATTCTAGACCATTTCTCCATAATTTATTAATGAGCTTTATATGCCTATCAATGAACTTAATCTTCGAACTTTTAATGTTTTCTCGTGCCTGACACATAAATTCCATACATTAAAGTCTAAAATTTTTATATATTGTTATTATTTGCCTTTACACAACAAATTATCATTTAATGTCTTAGTATTCGGTTCACAACTTACAGCTTAGAACCTCTCACTGAATAAGTTAACACAATGACAGCATCTAAAAATTTACGACTACTGAGCACCTGCCTTTTCTTTACGACTTTGACAACGCATAACATGGATTTCTTCCCAAAGCACAAATATGGCAGTGATGGTGATCATCTGCCTTGATTTTATGCAGAGATATCCTGATATTTTAAATACATTTTAACATTTTTAATCATAAATACTACAGTGTATATTATTGAACCACACAGAATTTAACTAGTGATGATAGAAAATAATGTATTCTTTCTTACCTTAGACCCTAATAACAGAACCTAGCAGAATATTACTGTATCACTCTTGCAATCTTTTGTTGTCAACTGTAGACAAAAATGACAAGTTCTTCCTGTGTTGTCTGCCTTCATGGATTCTATGTTAAAACAGATTTTTAAAAGTTATTTTGTTACAGGATCCAATACAATTCAGAGGAACAATGGACTAAAGCTCTTAAATTCCTCTTGACAAACCTCAAATGGGGACTTGCTTGGGTCAGTTCTCAGTTCACCAAGGATGAGGCAGATACAGTACAACAATGAATTGTGTTTGTATTACCACAAAAAAGAAGTTAAAAATGCATAAGTACAGTGCATTCAGTGATACATATAATTGTCATTTCCCAGCACCTAGCAGGAACTCTCAGTTCCTGTTGGATCCTGGTGTAGGTGCTCTTCATCAAGATTTACAAGATTTTCCTGACATGAACCAAGTATCACAGCACAGAAACAACAAAATCATTTACCTATATTATGAGAGGTTCTGAAAATGATGTCCCTGTAGATGCACACTCTCTGTACCATTTAAATAAGTTGAAATTCACCCAAAGAAATTCTTCTCAGGAACTTCCAAATTTCTTTATGTAGATTTTGTTCTTCAGTTTACCTGATGAATGAAAGTTTTATGAGGTAAGACAAGGTGAGCGTTATGGTTGTAAACCGTAGTTTATTATACTTCCTCTAGTTTTTCTTAAGTAAGCACACAGCATTTTCTTAGCATGTTTGTTGTCCAAAAATGACCCAGTAGACCTGACTTTATTAATAATATTATGAATGCCTGTTGTGTTTGTAGTTAAAGATTAAATTTTCTCCAATTCTTTGTAGTAGGACAACATTTCATGTACACTTCATATAGAAATCACACTGTCAACAGTATATCAATCAACACAACAAAAAACATCACTTAACATGATGTTCAACACAGTTGTACTGTCTATGAATAATTTTAGTGATGGTTGTTGGTGTTTGGCAGTGAGTTATGCAGTTCTTGCCAGGAGCTGACAAGTGACAGTTGCATTCTGATTTATTGTCAAACACATTATTAAATTTTCAGTTTTATAAATTGTATATTAGTAAATAAAGTGTGTGTATTAATGTAACTAGAACGCTCTATTCTTTGAATTAAAGATGCTAAACATGTGATTGTATGAACATCAGTAAATAGGATATGTTAGTCCATTTGAACCCTATTTATTTATTGAGAAGGGCAGAACATTTTTACATAATTTTCAAAATAATGGTTTCAACCCATATTTTAATTTACTCATGCTCAGAATTTTGTATTTAAAATGTACTGCAAATTGTGGCATGATGCTGAGAATCAAAACTAATTCATGAAGGTGCAGCATATGTAAGTGTAAAATGGCTTTGTAACAACAATAATAATAATCTGGCATAACAGCCCTATGGCCTCACGTTCACATGCATAAGCAGAGGTGAATGATCATCCAACCAGATATAGGGTGATGTGTGGTCAGCACAATGAACACCCAGCCATTGCTATTTTCAATTACTGGGGCTTTGTAACAGTTCTTGCATAATGTAAATTTTGAGCTCCATATGACTGGATGCCTCACTCCACATGCCATGGTAATGCAGATTTGTGATTCCTGCATTATTAGGGCATGTTTGCATTGCATCATCAGAGACAAATTTGATCTTCAACTGTGGATCATGTTAAATGAGCTTGTACACGACACAAATGTTTTGAGCATGAATATTAACTGCATATTGTGGACCTGCAGAGTGAGAAAATGCTGATCTGACCCACTCACCCCAATCCATTTAATTTCAGTGACAATTATATGCTGCCAGAGATTCTACTTGATTCTGAATTGTTCCACTAGGACTTGTACTTCCTGTGGTGGGGAAGAACAATTGAGGACTCTATCAAATAATTACAGAACTAAAATTCCAGGTGCTTGGCTGTGGAGCCTAGTTGTTACAACAGCATGCAAAATGTTAAGTACTACACCAAAGTTGGTGTTTGCATTGATATATATACCTATATTCATTTTATGAACTTTATTTTGGCGACAATGAAAACCAACTTTCGTCCGTGGTTCGAGCATCCACTCTGATCAACATCATCTGCACTTTCTTGTCAAAACCGTAAATTTACGATTATTAAATAAAACTGTTTTTTTCTTATCATTGATTCTTTTTTATTGTTATGCGAGAACTAATGGCCTCGAATAACGATCGGAGCGGGAGATGTTGGACGTTGTCTATGTTCTTGAGTAACGCGCCAGTCGAATTGAGACAATTCAGCTCTCGCTCGTTCGAAAGAAGAAAGTGTGAACGAGCGTAATTGAGCTAGTTCGTCACCACAGATTATCGCTGCAATCAGCTGGGGAATTTCTTCACTATACATTTATATGAAAACAATTGAGAATCTGATCGTGACATGAGTACAGATTTTACCAACGTAGCATCTGAGAATCATGTTGTTACACAGAATGTCTGATTGCTACTTGTGAATGGTGCTGGTGATACGTTTAACGTCATTTTGAATACGGAGTAGAAGCAGAAAAAAAATTATTGTCTGCCAAGAATATGGCGAACGAGGTTGCTACAGAAATTAAACGATTAGATATAAATAATTCTAATATTAATGTTAAAGGTGGAACAGAAGAGGAAGATATAGTGAATCCATGGAACGTGGTTAGCAAATCTGAAACTGGAATAGATTATGATAAATTAATAAGTAAGTATCATAGTAAAATGTGCACATATAGAAAGTAATATTACATGTACTGTCAGTGTGACTAAGGATGTTGCGCCGTGTAGTTCGACAGAAGTTTACCGGCGTTTCAGAGATCAGGAGCCCTGATGATGCAGGCAGCAAATACCACTGAAACATTGGTAACCTTTAACAGACTACACGGCGTAACATCTCAGAAGACCGTCATCTTCATAATTGTTGCTGTGAAAACCTGAAATCCCACAAATGTAGTATTATCTGGGAGTAAGGAATTGACATATGGTTGCATCATTCCATGTTGCATTTTAATTCTGTAGAACAACCTGTGTATACATTGAACGAAGTTTGACGAATGCACAGTCAATTTTCCATTAGCCTCTGAACTTACCTGCAGCCCACCAATTTTTTTTATTTATTTACATATTTTTCCTTTTTAGTGTAGATACCCTACTGGTATGCACATTTGCCTGATCTGAAACATTTTCACTGCCATCCTCTGCAAATGAAGTATTAGATGTTCATTAAGCCTCCAAATAACAAGAACTTTTTTGTGTGCGTGTGGTTTGTTGATTAAGTCAAATGAAACCCACTTCTGGGAGTGGAATCTCAAAGGACTACAACTTCCTATTTTGAAATGTTACATATCTTTGAGCATTTAATTATTGGGACCACAAAAACAAATTTAAAATTCATGTCTAATTAATCCTGTAAATGGTTGTTACCATATTTAAGAGAATTCTGACTGACTATAGAAGATAATTCATGGTGGCTATTTTAGTGTACCATTAGGCAAATTATGTTAAATGTTATCTATCTCCATTATTTGGTTAAGGTGATGAGATATGTTGTCAAATTGAAGGCAGACAGATACCAGTGTCTTAGAAAATATCCATTTTATGAAGATATCCGTCTTCTGGGTTATTGCGCTGTGTAGTCTGGTCGATGTTAACCAACGTTTCAGAGGTCATACTGCCTCCGTCATCAGGAACATCGACCAGACTACACAGCGCAACAACCCAGAAGACAGAAATCTTCATACCCTGATGACGGAGGCAGTATGACCTCTGAAACGTTGGTTAACATCGACCAGACTACACAGCGCAATAACCCAGAAGACGGATATCTTCATACTCACCGCTGTGAGAACCTCAAGTCTTACATATCCATTTTATGTATCCATATAGAACTCAGCATTGTAAACAAACTTCTATACTTCTCTTCTGATTTCAGAAAGGTTTGGTAGTTCTAAGATTGATGATGACTTATTGGATAGATTTGAGAAGGTGACAGGCCATCCTATTCATCATCTGCTACGACGCGGAATATTTTTCTCACATCGAGACATGCACAAAATTTTGACATTGTATGAACAGGGAAAGCCATTCTATTTATACACAGGACGTGGCCCTTCATCTAGCTCAATGCATGTTGGACATCTCATTCCCTTCATTATAACCAAGTAAGCTGTCAACTGATGATTAGTCTAATGTTGAAGGTTTACAGTCTTTGTAAGTACATTCATTAATGATGTTAACCCATACAGACATTTCATTTGCTGAGAATTTTAATCCTAAATTAAGAGTTGAAAGATTATATCTTGACTCTTCTTTGTGAAAATTAATTGTTTTGTTGTTTCAGATGGCTGCAGGATGTATTTGATGTTCCTCTGGTCATTCAGTTAACTGATGATGAAAAATTCCTGTGGAAAGATATGAAATTAGATGATGCAAATCAGTTGGCTTTTGAAAATGCCAAAGATATTATTGCATGTGGGTTTGATGTTGAGAAAACATTCATCTTCTCTGACTTTGATTTTATTGGGTAAGCTACACATTCACATAGCTACCTATGTTTTACAAATTTGTTTAATATGTAAATAGTGATCAGTGACTTAACTAACTTTTGGCAAATGAACTGTAAAGGGTTCTGACAAAGGTATGTTACACTTGCGATTAATAAATTATATTAAGTTGGGTCCAGTAGAAAGATTTAACCCTAGACACTGGAGATTAAATGCTATTTTTTAGCTGTTAACTCAGAGTTAAATTCCAGCCAGTAAACCTGCAATTTAGGGGTTCAAACCCTTTGTTCCCATTTGCTAAAGGTTAAGGTTATATTCTGACATTTATGATAAGGGTTATAAGAATGCAGTATATCAGTATGGACATGGTATTTGACTTAGTGAAATGCAAATAATGTGTATTACCATGAAGGAAACTTTCCCTTACTGTCTGGTAATAATATATCACATTGAGGCTCAAAACTGTAACTATTAATTTATTATTAGGGTTGTGGTAATTATTTCATTTGTTTAATTCTTAATCATTATTTCTTTTGTTAATTATGAGGCATCCATACAGCTTCAGAATGTTAAATTTACTCTTAAGCATTAAGTCTCTTTAGATTCACTGGAACATACATTCTGTTCACTTTGTAGTGCAGAGATAAAAATTTCTTCATTTATTAATTAAAATGACAAAGATTTTATTTGTTAAAATGTTAATCAGTATTTGTATTTAATGTGTCACGTAATTTTTATTTTGTGATTAAGGCTTTTAAATGTATCACTTTTTATACTGTCTAAGACTTTTATCCATAATTTTGTTTTGAACCACATGTAGGTGAACCAGTCTTAAATTCTATTGCAGAAATGTGTCGCAATTTGTTTCAGGCAGTGTCCCGCCTTTTACCGTAACATGATTCAAATAGGCAAATGTGTCACCTTCAATCAAGTGAAGGGTATATTTGGGTTTGGTGACAGTGATGTAATTGGAAAGATTAGCTTTCCAGCAGTTCAGGCTGCACCTTCATTTTCAAGCTCATTTCCCTTCATTTTTGGAAAAGCAAATTTACCCTGTCTCATTCCCTGTGCCATAGATCAGGTAAGTGTAAATGTGGGTTACATAATTTATAAGGGTCATTTCCAAATCTCTGAGTCTCAGATATTGTTAGAAATGTTAGGAGCAAACAGTTACAAGTTCAAAATGTGAATTAAGTTTTTTGCAAGTTCTGTGTTTAAAAAATTGTGGTTGAATGAATCTTTGTGAAATTTAATATTGACTGCCCTTAATAGACTAAGTAATCTGTGTTGCATTATGGCTAGGTATGAACAACTCAAACTTTTAAATTTATACTTCAAGAAATGTTCTTGTTCTAGTTACATCTTTAGTGTAATCATGATGTTTCCATAGAGATTCAAGGACAATACTAGCCAATGAGAACTGCCACTTAATTGAGAACTCAAACCTTTTTTGTGCATATTTTATTCACTATTCACTAGCTAGGAAAATGCTTCAATCAAAATTTGACTCTTGTGAAATAAATGTTTATTGTTTTTCTTTATTCATTGTGATGAGTCATATTTTAAAATATGGCTGTTGAAATGAAAATTGATCTTAATGATGTACCTTCTAAATCCATCTAATAGCAGTATTATGAAAAACACCTTGCTGTTGCTTTCAGTAAGAATTAATTTTCTCATTCTTTGTTTATAAAAATAAGTGACATTTTGATGTTTAATTTCTAATGTTGAAGTTCAGATGTTTACACATCCCTCATTAGATCTTTCTGGCAAATGATGTGGAATGTTGCAGGATTAGACCATTTTCATTAAATTTGTGAATTTAGTTTCCTGGAAAACTGGTTATCCTTTTGACCATGGTATTTTACTTTGCAGGATCCATATTTCCGGATGACACGTGATGTGGCCCCAAGGCTTGGCTATCATAAGCCAGCACTTCTGCATTCTTCATTTTTCCCAGCACTGCAGGGAGCACAGACAAAGATGTCTGCTAGTGATTCTAATACGTCAATCTTTCTTACAGACACACCAAAGCAAATCAAGAACAAGGTATGGAGAAGGAGACAAATTTTTCAGGAATGAAGGCTCTAACATTGTACCACTTTTCTGCTTTTACTTCAGGATATTATTTATGTTAGGCACTTATGACCTTACATTTTTAAATATAAAACCATTGTGTGTACCCCAGCTGAAATTAATATCTTTTAAAAATTGTTTAAAATTAGTGGAAAGGGCCCATTAAAATAAATGATTTTTTTCTTGTCCTCATCCCTCGTGCACTTTGTTTCCTTTGTCCCTTTGTTTATTTTTCCTAAAGTTCCTCCCTCCCACACCTACTTTCTTTCCTTTCTTCCATGTTACTTTCCCACACCCTTTTTCTAGAAAACAGTGAAACTCTCATGCTACATGCTTTCATTACCTATATTATTATAAGTGACTTTAAAAGCTGCCTAATGATAGAAGCACCTGTAAAATATAATTTTTGCCATATAATGTCATTCCATAAAACTTTTAGGCTCTTTTGAGTGCATCCAAAAACACATCAGACTGGGTTTTCCATCATATAAGTGCTTCTAAATGCTGTCTAATGGTGGTAGAACCTAGCATGATTGTTCTTGTGCTGTGATAAGATATCTGAGTGGAACTACAACCTCTCACAGGTTCATTGTTTATCCCCCAGATGGTACACAAATGAATATGGAGCAGTGGTGGAATGATATTGACAGGGAAAAACTGAAAACATGGACAAAGTCATGTCCCAATGCCACAGATCCCACTGGACCAACCTGGCACAAACCCAGGTTACTGTAGTGAGAAGTTGGCAACTAACTATGTAATGAATATTTTCCACCAAGTTAAAAGTTTTTGTCATAGACATGGTAAATTTTAATGAAATTAAGAAAGTATGTTAAGAGTACACTCACTTTGTCTGCAGGTAAATAAGCATGCTTTCTCTGGAGGTCAGGCAACAGTAGAGGAGCATCGAGAAAAAGGAGGAAATTGTGAAGTAGACATTTCGTATCAGTACCTACGATTCTTCCTTGAAGATGATGAAGAACTAAAAGCTATTGAAAAGGTCAGTTTTCTTGTTTTTGCATAAAATCTGTCTCTCTCTCTCTTCGCCCCCCCCCCCCAAAAAACAAATTTTTTTTAAGAGTACACTCACTTTGTCTGCAGGTAAATAAGCATGCTTTCTCTGGAGGTCAGGCAACAGTAGAGGAGCATCGAGAAAAAGGAGGAAATTGTGAAGTAGACATTTCGTATCAGTACCTACGATTCTTCCTTGAAGATGATGAAGAACTAAAAGAAATTGAAAAGGTCTGTTTTCTTGTTTTTGCATAAAATCTGTCTCTCTCTCTCTTCGCCCCCCCCCCCCCAAAAAAAAAAATTATATGTGTGATAAGTGTTGCTTTTCAGCATAGTGTGACTTAAGTTTTATCAACAACTGGAGAATCTGTTTAATAGTTTAAAACTGAAAGTAAGAAAAACATAATTAAATTTAAACAGCAGTTTAATTCTAGTTCTGGCAACCCAATTTTGCAGACTATACTTCAAGGCACTTAGGATTAAAATTTCATTACTGAAAAAGAAATGATAATAGCTTGCATGACCTGTCATCCATGTTTGTGGTGAACACATCATGTTATGTATGCCTGCTAGATAAGTTAAGAAAGCCATTTCTGAAGTAGTAGCTCCTATAAGCAAGGTTCTGCTTCTCTGGTTGCTTGGATGATGGTTTGCACAATTAAAACTAAAGAAAATTTCCCCAAACTGTTGTAAATTTTAGTGTAATATTTTTTTATTTTACAGAATTACACTAATGGGGATCTTCTTACTGGAGAAATAAAAAAGAAGCTAATTGAGGTTCTTCAGCCTATAATTACTGCACACCAGGAACGTCGAGCAAAAGTTACAGATGATATAGTGCATACTTTCATGACTCCTCGAAAAATGAAGTACAGTTATTAATAAATGGATAAATAACGAATGTCTTGTTCAATAAGGTACTCTGTACGCTTACCATTAATGGAAGTAAATAGAGTACAGAGCAGGAGATTTATTTTGCTTTCTTCTTTCTTAATAACAATGAAATTCTTTGCTACAAGGAAACAGGACAGAAAGCGAGGATACTAGTACCACAAAGTTTAATTTTAAGAGTTATTGAATTTGGTATACCAAAGAAGCTAAGTAAAGTAAAGTTTGTCCTGCTACGTGCCATACAGGCGCTTGGGGTGAGTGGAGGTATAGCTCTCTTTCTTGACCTCGGCACTAGATGGGGGTGAGTGGTCGGTATCACGCCCCGGCCGGCTTTACCCCCGGGAAAGGACCCTGGTACCCATTGTGGGTGGGCCCCAGAGCCGGTCTGGACGCAGAGGCTAGAGGAAAAATCCTCTTCCCCCGTCGGGGA